TTTGTAGTAAGTTCCAAATCCTGACTTTTTAATTATTAAAACAATTAAATTTAACAAATATTTAGGGAAAAACTTTAGTATACCAAATACCTTGTACTCATTCCAACTTAGGTTGAAACTCTGCGAGCCATCAATCCTCTGCTGAATGACAATCCATCCATTGACAGACGTGACAGGAGTTGAGTTGGCAAACGTTGGAATGTCCAACAGGATTGTTTCATTGGCAGCGCTGTAGGCGGGTGTATGATAGAACTACAATCATTGCGCATTAGAGATAATAATTCGGATAATTTTTGATATACTTAGTTCATCTTTTTACTGAATATATTCACCATGATTTAATTCCTTATTTTGTAATAAAAGTATTGTAACAATAACCTTAAGGATCAAGACAGATGGACAACTGCCTGTCAGCAGTGAAACACATGTAGAGAGCACAAGGATTGTTGATGCCAGGTAGTGAGTTGGAACAAGAGTAGAACAATCCACCGTTGAAGGTGAATGGGAAGTTGCAGGATTTGCTCAGGGTCAAATTTAAACTATTGGCTAAATTCGATAAAATCATCTTAATGAAAAATGTCTAAAATTTCATTTATTAATATATAAGTTTTATAATTTGATGAAAAAATTATAACAAAGATACACAAAAAGTCTGGATTTTTATCTGCGTGCGAAAAAATAGAAAATTATAGTTTTAAATTTATATTGTTAAAAATAACCTGCATACTAACCCAACGAATCCATAACTGCTATATCCTACGTATTGATGAAAGATTATTTAAACGAATAAAGTTTAAAACTATATCTCATTTAAAAAATTTGTGTAAAAAATTATTTTTAAAATATGTAGACGATGATTCGACAAACCTCGTAAGCACGACAATGAGTATCGTTCAGAACAATCTTGAAATGAACATCATAAGTGAAGTGAAACAGTTGGCAACTCTCCTATCATTCCATACTTCTTATCAACTGCTGAAGCCAATGATTCGATCAAAAACATGGTTAACAAACAAAATTTCTTTTGGTCACATTTCAGCTGTTTCTTACCACAAACTTTAAATATCTGAAATTGTATTCAATATTTTATTCTCCAGTGTTAAATACTTTTGCAAATCGTAATTGAAATTCAAAAAACAAACATTTTTACAACTCTGAAAAATTCCAATTACGCCACATAATATCAAGTGATTAAAGACAACTATTCTTAGCAAGTTTGATACATTAATAAAAAGGCTGAATGATGAACTTATAAAATTGGAAATAATGAACTAACTTGGTATTGGCACGGTCGAATCATCCTGTTGTAAAATGTATTCAATCGATTGATATGGGGTAAATCTTTTTTCTTTCAATTGAAAATCACGCCACTTAAAATGATTTTTTTTTCAAAATCAAAATTCCAACCAAAATTGAAAGTTACACGTGAAATTATTTGAAATAGAAAATACTTAATCTTAAATAGTGGATGCACACGTCATTAAAGATTTTTTCACCTCGTGTATGTTTTGTTTTTCTTTGTTTTGTATCTAGATTTGTCGTTCGTTTTATTTGTATGTTTGTTTGAAACTCGTTCGCATGTGGCACTCAGCAAATGCACGGCGATGAGTGATTGATGCGACAATAACGCGATAAAGTAACGAGATATGCTAATCTGTTTTGCAATCTGACTACTTCTTGAAAAAACTAAGTAAATGGTAGTTTTAAAATTTGAAAAAGTTATTAGAAATACTAATTTGACTACCTTCAAATCTGGGTAATTAGTTAGTATAAACTTTTTACTTGCATAAAATTGCTTCGTTAGTAGTTATTGTAATCTGATTGCTTAGAAATGTAAATTGTTACCAAAATCTACTCAGATTACTGTTTAAAATTAGTAGTTTTAGTTACAGGATAAAGTATTTCAATTAGTAATTAACATAGTTTACTATTTTTGGAAGTTACAAATTGAAGATTATCCATTTTGTATCTATGGATTCTTCATATGATTGATTGTACACTGAGAAAATCTTATTCCTACCGAACGCATACTATCATCTATTATTTATTTTATTATGTTTCAACTTTGTAAAAAGTGTTCACTTTACATAGATAATAATACATTTAATTGATCGTAACAACGATTCATTTGTCATAGCATTAATACCAACAGATATGACAATATTCATGATGTTTTTAAACATTGTTTAGTTTAGTAATAATTAAAATGAAATAGGTTACAGTGCAATAAATGCAGAGAGATGTTTGTTAAATCTTAAAATTATTTAATTTCAGTCGCGAGCGTTTGTTGAAACATGTCCTAAATATCAACATTGTTAAAAAAATAATGCTCAATAGTATGCATTTAATTTTGTTTCTGAACTTCAAATGAAAAATTATCTTCAAACATGGTTGGAAATAATTTTACCCTATTAGGCCGATTTAATTTTTACATGGATGAAAAAGTTTGATTTAAAGACCTAATAAATTTAATTTTTTTATCAAATTTACCCAATGTTGCAAGCAAATTGTTGACAAGTGATTTGTTTTCAGGTCAAATATTAAAGTCAAAACTACACTGAAAACTTATTTTCAAACGATAACACGAAATGTATCTTCATGTTCTTTCAGTTGCAACATTGGCAATATTATTTTTACTCCTGTTACTTTAGCTAGTTATAAATATCTACATCATAGTCTTCTTTGATTTCCTGCTTTTTTGCGATCAGCTGTTGTGAACATCATCACTTCATAATATCCTTTCATCATCTCGCCATCTTCCTTCCCTCCATCATTATTTCTTCTTTATCATCGTCATCATCATCATCATCACCATACCATCATCGTCATCATCATCATATCTAAATCACCATCATTCACCATCACCATTAGGCCATGTTTGCTAGCTTCATTCCAGAGATAATGGACATTCTGGGAACGAGAAGCAAATATGGAGGGGCCTACAAAACTGAAGGTGGAAAAAAGTCAGTGAACTTTTTTTTTCTTTATATAGGTCAGTTTGAGGTCATTGAGAGGTCATTAAGATATCATTGAGAGGTATGTGACCATTTGAAGATTATTTCAAATATATATGTAATAATAATAGAGATGTATGATTTTATTAAAGAGTTCAAAAACAAACAATTTCAAGATAATCCAGATCTAGAATTAAAAAAATTGAAAATACTCTCTTTCTCTCTCTCTCTCTCTCTCTCTACTATTTATTTACTTTTGATATTGAAATTAAGACCAGCCACGATAAGAAAGATAATTTGAAGTATAAATGGAAAAATAATTTGAAACATGATCGACGATCGTTAGTCTGATCCAGCGGGTCGTCTACTGGATATCGGTTTATCACCTAAATTCGTCATCGTCATCGTCATCTTTATTATTATCTGCGTCACTATCTACAGTTTTCGTCATATCATCATTATCACAATCATAATCATTATCGTAATCATCGTCATCCGAATCGTCATCATGAGTTTTGATCACCTCATTGTCACTCATCACTGTTATCATCATACCCGACGCCACCAACGGCAGAAACAACTTACATAAGAATCCTCGCCACTATAATGTTTCAGTTGGAGGCATTGATTTTCATTCGCATTCATTTGTTTGTTTTTAAACCGAGTTTGTTCGTTCGTTCGTTTGTTTTTCATTTGTTTGCTTGTTCGTTTGTTTGTTTACTTGTTGGTTTGTCTCATTCTGTAATTATATATTTATGTGTGTGTATGCGTGCGTGTGCGCGCGTGTGAAAAAAAATTACTTTGGTATGTAGAAAGAATGCAATGCTTTTCGATGTAGTTTACATAGCAATGATATAAATGTTTAACAATATTGTTAGTTTGTGATATAAGTTACCCGCGTAAGATGTAACCCATTTCTGTATCTTTTTTCTGCGCCGTGGTTTTATTTATTTTACTTTCGCTTCTGGAGATTTTTCCTCATTCATTTATGATGAGCTAAATATTTTCTGGTTTGGAATAACAATTTGTTTCTTTAATGATTCTTTATCGCCTATTTTCTACGGCCTAATTTGTAATAAAATTGTCAAAATTTTTCAAATTCTAAAACCATTCCATCACAACTCTCTAATCGTTTTCTTTGAAGATATGTACAAATTTAAATATTTATTTCATCAAATCAAAAAATTTATAAAACAAAATTTA